CTCTCTCTCTCTCTCTCTCTCTCTCTCTCTCTCTCTCTCTCTCTCTCTCCAACGCTACTCTAGCTCCTAATAGCGCCCAGCACTGAAGACTACTCCTAACGCTACTACTACTGGAGCGCTCTTCCAGAGTGCTGCTGCCGAAATCCTGAAGACGGCCTCCTGCCTCCTGCACGTGAAGTGCCCGTGAACTGCCTGTGAAGTGCAGGGCGGACCAGTACTATATGGTGCTGGTCCGGCCTGGGAGGCTGCTCTTGCCCATGCCGAATCGTGCCAGACCCTGGCGTTGAAGTTCAAACAAAGGTTGTCTTGAAACAGGCCCAAAAATTGCCTGTGCTAAAACCCTGGTCTGGTGCCTAAGTTTCAGGGCAGGTCGACCTTATGAGGGCCTGAAAATGGCCCTCCGTTTCAGGCTGAAAAGACTCAGGGCCTGGAGGGCCCTTTTTTTTAGGCTGAAAAGACACAGGGCCTGGAAGGCCCTTATTTTCCATCTGGTCGGGTCCTTGTGGCTGCGCAGTATGCCACACCACTACAGGAGCACCCAAATTCATCCAACTAGAAACGTTTCTACTCTATTTTTTTCGGCGGCCGATAGCTGGGCCAAGTACTGGTGGTTTAAGAAAAGTTTTTTTCCATTTATTTTAAGCATTCATTCAATGTCATGGGAACCGGGATGTGAGACTCTAACACCCCCATTGGACGTGAAACATTGCCCGTCCCCCCATCTGTATGCACATGTCATTGAGTGCTTGTATCAGCTCTCTGCAGTCACCTAGAGTAGGGGAAAGAATCACATGTCATTCTGTATTTGGTAACCATGAAATGAATTGGAGACTGATCGGTAGGAAGTGTTTTACTCACCAAGAATGAAAACAAGATTGAAAATGTGAGCGGAATGAGCTGATTAAGAACTACAATGAGCAGCACGCAGACTCCACAAAACGTGCATTCTCGCATCCTCCAGCTGTTCTTTCGCGCTGCCAACACCAGTGTCACCAATCTATCAAAGCACTATGTATGTCTGCATGTATGGACGTATCAATCTATCGTTCTTGTTGCTTCTCCTGCTCTCCTCTTGAAGTCCAGGATGAACGTTGCAGGGAAAAATATGGACAGCCACAATAGCACAAAAGTGCACCTCCTCCTCCTTTTCCTCTTCTTCTTCCTCTTCTGCCCCGTCTGCTCCCTTTTCTTCAATGCATTCCATGCCATATGAACTGGTGACAACAGACTGCATTTCTCCTGTTTGAGCAATTATGTCACAATGTCATTCCTTTCAGTACAGAGGGAGGAGGGGAGAAGCAAATCCCGATTGTTACCTAGGTGAACCAACATTGCTGCATCTGGTGCAGGGATGTAATGTTGTGTGAACTGTAACTTGATCACCCACAATTTTGCATGTGACTGTGTGACACTGTGTTTGATACTTAGGAAGTTAGGAATAACTTAGCGAAATTGTTTGTGGCTCGGATTGCGTAAACTGCACATGCTTCTTTCTTGATCCCCAATTATGGATTTTTTCTAGACAGTTCTCCGTGGTTGATCCGCTTCTGTTTTCCCCCTCCCATTCGCCGAATCGCCAACTTGCCGCATTTCCCTTATCACAAGTAGAGGCAACAAGTCTGGGAGTGTGATGTCCGAGAAGTGACAACTCAAATAGGTCGCCACTACGGCTTCGGATCCCTGAACAAGGCGAACTGCCCGGCTTTTATAGGATCCGAATTCGTGATCACCGACACCGGTTTTCGCCCGTATTCCATCCTGAGTGTCTGGTGCAGGCTAGAACAGGGAGTCCCCGCTCTAACCTTAGGGCGTCGTTACACACTCCTCAGGACATCCTCGGGCTCCGAGGATGAATCCTCAGAAAAGTTTAGGGGTTTTGTCATCTTCGTTCCACTCATCCTCGGAGCATTGGGTTTAGGACTCATCCTCCGAGAAATGTCAGAAAAAAAAGGAAAATAAAAAATAAAAAAAGTTGTGCTTCTGGCATTCAGCCAATAGAGTGCTGCCACGATCCGAATTCTCGGTTGTAATGTCTCTCTACGTGCATGTCCTCTCCTCTCCGTGAAACACGGATCCTCGGGCCCCAAAGGACCTCGCAAGGTCCTTTGGAGCCGAGGACGATTTGGCT